AAAGACATAAAGGTACATGTATGACTATTAAGACAATCACTTCTAGTTTAAGGTACATGACTTGAAATAAGCACAATGAACGTGTGGTCGGGGATTATCTATATTTTAGAATTTAATTCTTTCATTTTTTCAACGGCATAACAGGTTGAATAACATAAGTTGCAAAGAAAACCGTTGTGAAAACTTATTTGAATGATTTTTATATAAATTTGTATATTGTTGCAAAAAAATCGAAGTTAAGAAAATAACGTTTAATGATTTTATCTAGATTATTAATATATTTGCTCCCGGTCCCTTTCTCACTTTAATAAAAAAATTAAAACCGTAATAAAATTCTGATTTATTTTTATTTGTTTTACCAAAATATCCTTCATGGAATGTCTTTATCAGTTCTGCAAGGTTTTAAAATTCAATAATAAATGATGGTTTTTTTCGCATCTTTTTTCAAATTGAATCAAATATTAATATCTGACTCTATTATATTATCATTTACGAACTTTCCATAAATGCAACTAACGATTGAAAGCGCGGAACAACTTTGTCGTGTTCCTAATATCAAGAAGATATGTTATATTATAATTTTCGTCTAAAATAAACCACATAAAAAGTACTGATAAAATTACTTACACGTTAGAGTTATGTCCCTTCTACTACTAAGATTTCATATACCATATTTACTCGTACTGAATGTTTTTCATTCTCTTTCTTGTTGAATAATTTAAACAGATCCGTGTGTTTTATGTTACGTTATAGACACGTGCGCACGGAAATTGATATCATACGTTTTAGTCCTTTATCATATTTATTTTATTTCATTTTTTATTTCATTTTACATGATAATTTTTTTTCTTCAAAATTAATTGAACTATTGATAACTTAATGAAGACACAGTCCGACTTATAGCATTTTGCTTGGCCATTATTGAAGAGTTCAGCGTGTTTTTTTGTTGTTTTTTTTTTTTGGCGAACTTGCCGCAAGTTTATTAGGTTGTAGTCTTTTTGGAATGTTTTTTTTTTTTACTTTTTTACTTTATTCGAGAATATCTTGCAGACGTTCTCCTCAAAATGATCAATGATTATCTATTCTTTATAGATATATATGTATATTTCATAAATCACAATGATTATTTCAGTTTTTAATAATTGAATTTATATATAAGAAATAGACTTTTTTGGAGTATGATTCGTTGGTATCTTATTTGAGATAATTAAGATATAATGAGTAGGAAGCAGTCATATAATAATCCAGATGCTGAGTGTAATAATAAAGCGACTTTTTTAATGTTGTTCCGATTTCCGATATTTTCCCCTATTGGTCCCGTCTTTCCCATGAATTAATCGACAACCTGAATTCACAGGTCCACTTAGGAACATAAATTTTTCATAGATTTTGGTTTACATGTTTAATAAACAAATGAATCCGATGAAATAATTTTCAAGAGTTCAATAAACTACTGTAACGCGTAACTGTTAAACTAAAACCAAAACATGTAAAGTAAAATCTGAAGAAAATTATTGTCTAATTTACGTGGCTTTTCCAACACGTCTATACTATTTAATATAGTATTACCGAAGGCGAGACATTTTCTGCATATGAACGATATGGTTTACGCAAATTTGTTTTCAATTAAAAAATATAACGTATAGGGTTTTGGTTAAAAAGAAATATATGAACTATGGACACAATTTAAGACTTGTCACCAGTATTCAGTTCCTTGAAAGAGATTAGGTTCTCCCTTATTGATAATTAACAACACCCACCACGGAAGTATTTGTATCATAGTATATGGGTTTCGTCACCTCTATTTGTATCATAGTATATGGGTTTTGTCACCTTTATTTGTATCATAGTATATGGGTTTCGTCACCTTTATTTAAGTATTCAAACAAATTTATAATTAATTGGTTATGTATATGCCTGAAAATGATATCTTGTTGGTAATAAGATATCAATTTACTTTCCAGTATTGCTTAAAGCTAGTTTAATTTCACAAGCCATATGAATTATTACATAATAATGTTTAAACATTAATTAGCATAATTGACAGACACAATTGTTATACATATAATGGAAACAAAAATGCTGATTAATTAAAATACTTTCATAGCGACAAAACCATTTTTAATGCTTAACTAATTTCCCAAGTCTTACAGTCGACCATGACGTTAGTAGGCCAAAGTATAGCGACTGTAATACTTAAAAAAATATAAAATTTTACATATAAAATTTTACATATAAAATTTTACATATAAAATTTTACATATAAAAATAAGAAGATGTGGTATGATTGCCAATGAGACAATTCTCCACAAGAGACCAGAAATTAACAACTATAGGTCACCGTACGGCCTTCAACAATGAGCAAAATCCATATCGCATAGTCAGCTATAAAAGGCCCAGAAATGACAAATGTAAAACAATTCAAACAAAAAACTAACGACATAATTTATGTACAAAATAATGAACGAAAAACAAATATGATACACAGTAACAAACGACAAACACTGAATTACAGGCTCCTGACTTGGGACAAGCACATACAGAATGTGGCGGGGTTACACTAATTTGAAGGCGCCAACCCTGTCCCTAATGTATGGCTAGCTGCTTATTGTTTTTATAGTTCTTTTTGCGATAAAAAAAAAACTTATTGTATTCGGCACTTTGGGGATATTTTTTATTAATATATTGTTTGATTCTAAAAAAAAAAATAATAACCATATAAATGATCGATGCCTTAGTTTGATTGGGTGTCTGTCTATCTTCTATACATTTACCAGGGATAAAACTTAATTTAATATTTGTATTTTTCAAAAGCAGACGTGTGTTCCTTTCTCGCATCAATTATAAAAATAAACCCTCATAATTTTCAGATATATTCTTATTTGTTTTTACATAAATATCCCTAACGAAATATCTTTAGCGTTTTGCAAGGTTTTGGTTTCAGAGATAAAAATTCAATTATAAATGGGTTTTTTTGTACCTTTTTTCAACCGACTAAGATATGAAATATTTGTAATCGTATTCTATAATTTCAAGGGTATAATTGAGAATGGAAACGGAAAATGTGTCAAAGAGACAACAACCCGATCAAAAGGCAGAAAACAGCCCAAGCCCACCAATGGGTCTTCAAAGGAACGAGAATAAAGATATGTCATACGTTATGTTTGTCGTCTAAAATATGCCATAAAAATAATAAAATGTTTTATACGTTTACATGTCCCGTCTACTATTTAGATTTCGTTTACCATGCATACTCATGTTTGGTTCTTTTTACAGAAAGTTTCTCATTTTTTTCCTTCTGATTTTTTTAAAACAGATATGCGTGTTTAATGTAACACTATAAACTTGTGATCACATAATCAGTATCTTAAGTTTTTATCATTTATTTTAATTCTTTTATTTTATTTTCATTTTATTTGATATTTTTGTTTTTGTAAACGAATTCAACTTAGATCTTTGATCTATTATAAGTTATTGTTTAATTCTCAAGGCTTTTCCCACACTTCTTTCTTGGTTAACGTATTATTACTAACGTCGAGACATTTTCTGCATTTAAAAAATATTTTATGCGCAAATTTGGTTTCAATACAAACAAAACAAGTAGGTTTTTTTTTAAATACATGTACTATGGACATAATTACAAGACTGTCACAAGTTTTTAGTTTTTGAAATTGTTTAATTTCTCCTTTACAAACTGTACTGTTTTTACATAGAACAATTGATTATTAATAATACACATCAAAGAAATATTTGTATTATACATGTAGTACATGGTTTCCGTCACCTTTCTCAAAACTTTCGAACATTTTTTCAATTAATTGGTTATGGATATGCTTAAAAACGAAATCCTGTTGGTAATAAGGTAGACATATACTCTCCAGTAAATTAAGCTTAAGTTCACAATACATATGGATTATTGCATAATTATGTTTAAAAATTACTTAGAATTACACAAATGTTATACATGTATAAAAAAAATGCTTATTAATCAAAATACTTGCATAAAATAATGTTAGCGACAAAACCATTATTACTTCAGATCTAATTTCCCCGAGATTTACAGTTTATTTTATTCAGATAACATGAAATGACATATCAACTCACCATAGATACCAGAATTAAATTTTGTACGCTAGACGCACGTTTTGTCTACATAATACTCATCAATGAAGCTCAAATCAGAAAAGTTAAAACGGCCAAATAAAACGAAGTTGAAGGGCATTGGAGACTCAATATTCCACTACTGGGTTGGGGAGGAAACCTGATATTTATAGCGACTGTAATTGTTATAGAAATGTAAGCCAATATAAAGGCTATGACTAGTTGCCTCTTTCTTTTACTGGACCTTTTGCGATGAGAATGTTATTGTATTAAGCATTTGGGGATGTTTTTTTTTAATATACTGTTTGATTCTAAATTTCTTTTAATATATACACATATATATATATATATATATATATATATGGCCATTTTGATCTTAATATGATCGGAAAAGTTTGAACAATAGATGATTCAGTCATGTTCAGTCTTTCTGTCAATGTTCAGACTTATCCACTGTCATAAATTCAGACAATTCGATTTTAATCAATCAAGATCTGTGTCAGTCGATGTTCAGAATGACCGTTTTAGATCAAAATTAGTTTACTAGCTGCACCATTTCAATAGTTAAGAAGACCCATCGGTGATAAATATCATGAATTCAGGCACTTTATCCTCCAAAGTGTGCATAAAAGATATAATAATGTAATAACGTAATACCATACTTTAAGATGTTTTTTGATGATTCAAAAATGTGTCCAGTCTAAATAACTTACGATTGACGTAAAGTATTGAGTATTTAGGTTACACTATGTTTTTCCTGTATCTCCCTTACAGGACATCATATTAACAAAACGGAGATCACATGTTTATAAATTTCTAACATTAAAAGATTTAAAAAGAAATTGATTTGTTCATATTTTCATTTTGTATATTTCTTTATATTTAATTTTTTGACATACCGTCCTTCGTCTAATCCGAGTTTTCTCCTTTCTATAAGTAATAACAGGTTCAGGAGTACACTCAAAAGAGGGATCCGTCCAATAGCTGTCCTCGTCATTCATTTTCTTCAAATTAATATCGCACAAAATAAGAGTCCCTTCTTATCGTTACTCCTCTGAGAGAGTTAAAATATTTCTATTTCCCAGATCAAAAATTGGTTACTTTTGTCAAGTGAACCTACCCACCCAAGGTTGCCTTATCAACGTTATAAAGACCTCGCATTCAAAACTGCTAACCAGAACAATTTTGTTTTTTATTTCTTAAAGCTGATACTGTTGACATTTTTTCAAATAAATCAATTGATTCGTTTAAGTGTGAATAACACATTTGTCTTTACTAATTGAAATATGATTTTCATATATCTAGATAATTAGTTAAAGAAATATGTTGATTGTTATTTAATCATCCGATGATAATTAACGTAAGAGGGAGTAGATCACATTCCCAAAATGACCTAGAGATATTTGTATATTACTTTAAATGTAATTAATTAATTATGAAATGTTGTAGGTATGACAAAACATAAACTGTCCTCCGTTCTTGTTGAACTTGTCATAATGTATTAAATTAGAACAAAACTTCAACAGCTTAATAGAAATTTATATATTACATTGATTGAATGTCTTAAAAATGTCATTTTTTTCATGCATATTCAGGATGAGAACAAATTAACCCTATATCAAAAAAGTAGGTTTTTCCAATGGTTTCTTCTGGGATTACACAAAAAAAAGGAATTCCGATTTCAACAGGAAAAATAAGGGAAATTATGTTGGAAAGGAATAGAATTTTGCCTTGCAACAGGCCACTTCCCTACCCCTCAAAGAGTTGTTGCAAGGTAGCAATGCATCTGTTTTAACGTCCACATTGAGAACGCACTGACTGCGAATTTATGCCTCCTTGAAAAGCCAAACGACCGCCCTCTTAGGCCCGAGTTTTACTGCCGGAATTTAGAAGCCCAAGGATGACCAAGTTTCTACGCACCAGTAAACATTAGGTGTTAGAATTTTATAATTGTTGTTTATGTTTATAGAAGACAGATGTTCTTCTTACTGACAACCACGGTAAATCAATGAAATTTACATCGAATTTGTATGGAGTGCATTTCGAGGCATCAATAAAAGTTTGGAAATCCAAAGAATTGTAAAAATACACACGTAAAAGAGCCTTCTAATAAAAATGAACATGAAAAGAAAAGATCTACAATTAACGTCAACATTAAATAAGGACATGTAACATTCACTGTTGAATAAAGATCAAATATTTAACCAAATGTTTGTAAAACTTATGGTCTGTTTGGAAATAACCTATTAGCCGGATAACTGTATTTGTTCGGAATCACTCTATCAGCCAGTTATGGCAAAACGAAACAGACCAAATTGTCGCCAAGAACATGGTTTAACTTGATGTTTCTTGTATGAAAATGATCTCTAAATAATCCTTTAATTAAAAAAAACACTTCTAAAAGAAATGGTTAACACTGTACATCGAGCTACAAAGTGAAAAAAAACAGTTTAATAATATGAGTACTTGATTTCATTGTTATGAACAGCATCCAACAGCCTTCTGAGGTTAATTCTGCTTTAGTATGGTGAAAATGTATTTAAAATTTATCGAATATCTATTAGCTGAATGAAATATACGAAATACATCAAGGAAAATCTTTGATATGGCTTAGAAAAGAAATCAAATGTAGGTCATGAAGTCAACTCATCTACCGTGTGAAATAAAGTATAAGTAATATAGGTTATCCAGAAAAGCGCTTCGGACGCACGAAATTAACAGTGTTATTTTCATGTTTGATATTACAGGATGGATGATTCAAAGTTTTACGTTTCGGACGCAATATCTTGTTGAGTGTTTTTTTCATGTCATATCACTTGGTAAGAATCATACATCACATTAGCTATTTTCGGGGGAAAAAACAAAACCGTACAAAAACAGAATATAATACGACTTAGAGAACATGTAAACTGCACAAAAACGAAAGAGGTACCCTTCAATAGACACACGTATAATACATACTAAAATTACCTCTTTGTCGTAACGAAAAAGTCCAAATCTCAACGAATCTTTACTGATAATAGTTTTCTCATCCAACCTTTCCATTTATGTATTTGTTTACCCAGTATGTACGAAATAAATTTACCCATTCAAGGTTACAACTATATAGAAACAATTCCAAAATTAATCTTACTTACAGACTACAATATTAGCATGCGATGGTTTATATCTAGAGAAAAAATCTCATTCTTTAGATTTAATTAAAGACTTGAATAGTTAATTTTGGACCGATCATAATAGCTAGTATTGATAGACTTATGATAGCTACTGTAACAAAGGTTTTAAAATTGTGATCAACATACAATAATGTTATTATGTCTAAATAAGTCAAACTGACAAATGTGTGGGTCAGCGATATACATGTTCAACATTTATCAGATGTACTCGTTTAAATAACTTAAATACCCACTATTAAAATATTGATTTGATTAAACCTCTAACCTCTTTTACAAAACAACACGCATTTTATTGTGAATAACGATATATTAAACTTCGTTACGAAATCAAATTATTTGCACTTAACAATCCTTCCGTTAAAAGATAAAAAAAAAAAAGGGAAAACAAAAAAATTATGTTCGCTTCGAGTAAGCAATGGAACATTCCGAGTAAGTAATGGAACATTTTTAACCTTCTTCCCGTAAATTTTATAGCTTGAAAACATTTTGTAAACTTTAAATAACGTAAGACTAAAGTGTTTTTCATTTTCCACTTAAATACAGCAACAAGGCTTCCTCTGCCTTATTTTTAGACTTATACCTCGAATTTGACATATGAGGTCATCTTATTACCGAAATCTATGATAATTAAACGAGATGATTTTAATTGTGAAATTATAAATTTACCCCACCTTAGCAGCAATATACCAACTTCACCTCATATGGAATATACATTTCCCAACTCATTCGGTATTCACGAGCTTGCAGCTGCTACTCAGACTTTATAAAACGTCACCAGTGTCTGAGCAGAAAGTTGATGAACCAGGGTTATGTCAAAGAACGTCTCGTCCTTTTTCTAAAAAATTCATCGGAAGATACCAAGACCTTATTTATGCATCCCGCCATTGTGTTATTGTGCTATGGTCATTTTTTTTTGTTTTCTTGTCTTTCATTTTTGCTTATGTACTTTGTCTATAGAGTGCCTGTATGCCATTTTGTTTTTCTTTGTTGAAATAGTTATTTGTTTTTATAGTGATAAAGATTATAACACAATATTGACTGCTGTACCCAAATTTTTTACAATTTTACCTTTAAGTCTGTTCGTTTTGCTCACACATTGTTCTCAATGTAATGGAATTCTATGCAACTGTCATACAAGTGAGAGGTTTAGCTAGCTATAAAAACAGGTTAATCCACCATTTTCTGCATGAGGAAATGCCGGTATCAAATCAGGAATATGACAGTTGTTTTCCACTCTTTTGGTATGTTTGAGCTTTTGATTTTGCCATTTCATAAAGGACTTTCCGTTTTGAATTTTCCTTGGAGTTTGATATTTTTGCTATTTTACTTTTTGCATTACAACCTACATGTATACTCAAATTTCGAGAAAGTTAAGCACAGCTCCTCGTCTGTCACTTCTTTAAACAACTTTTAAAACAAAGAGGCATGCTATTGACAATAATTAACAATAATTATCAAACAATACAACTTATATTTGAATACTTGTATTTAGTTTAAATCAATTTTGTAAGTTAATACTTTCACTATAAAAACAAAAATCAGAAAAACCTAAGGAATAATCTAATCTCTACGTTCTGTTGACATGCTTGGAATTTTAATTTAAGTGACAGTTTTAGTGACGCCCAATTGAAACTAGTCCGAGATTGCTCTGGCGTCTTACAGCCTTTTTTGTAACTTGCTTGGACTGCGGGACGCCAGAGCACACTTAAAATAGAAACTTTGAAATGCCCAACCCAGACTTGGGGTCGGCAATTCCGAATAGATCCATTGCCATATAGATAAATCATACACAACTTGTTTCCTTATTCATATCCCGTAATTAGAGGGAAATAAACCTTTCCAAGATGGAAGTTATATATATATATATATATATATAAGGTACATATTCGTGGGGGGAAATATATTTTCTATAAGAAAACTATGCATGTAAATTATTTCAAACCATATTCTAGTTTGAGGTGGTCTAAACGCAATACATTATACAGTTATACATGACACCCCTCACTTGATATACCTGCTTAAATAAAAGTATTTTTCGCTTCATTTGAAATAGATTTTTAACAATTTGTGCCTGTAAACACAAGTTTCAAATGTCCATTTGAGTGTAAACCAATTTTAATATCGTTGATATACATTCAATAGCTTCAACTGACACGGAAAGCAGGGTATGGATTACAAATATCTTTGGGGATGAAAAATATGACTGGCTTTTAATAACACGAACCAGTGTGCAGTCTATGATTTATACATATATTTAAATTTCGGGTTTTCCACTTTGTTTAACAAAAAAATAATATGCAGGAGATATTTAATTGTGTTTAATCAAGTTTTGACAAGGAAATCCGCGGAAAATCTTTATATTATCATGAAAAATACATTCAAATTTCGACTATGGCTAAAGTCTTCGAACATCTGGCTTTATGAAATATAGCGTTCCTTAATTGGTATTAGTTCGTCGGCATAAGTAGTACATGAATAATAAAGGGACAGAAGATACCAAGAGAATAATAATATTTTGCAAGTCGATGAGGAACCGACAACATCATGATAAAAAACGAAAATGACGAATAAAACAGCAGTCTGCATGACTCTACATACAAAATAAAGACTGAGCAAGACAAACCATTAACAAAATCTGGATTGATATCAGGTACTCTGGAAGTGGGGCACCCGTCGAGTAGCTTATGGTAAAAGGACATAAAATGGTAAATCTATGGAGTTCATCTTTAAATCGCTATATAGACATGAAGTTGTTTTTACGCTTAGTGATACATTTTGTAACGCATATTAGATCGGTGATGTCATACTTATGCCGATGAAAGGACTAAAAAGACGACTGTACAGAAATAAAGATCCGTTTACTTCTGTTGTTGTTTAACAGCAGGTACTGGAAGTGTAAACATTTTGCATGGCAAAACAGACAAAATGAAAAGACAAACAACAGTGACCCAAAAAAAGTTCAGGTGCTTCAGAAAAGCAAGACTGATG